AGCAACAGCCATAAGTGAGGTGGCAGCGACTAGCAGGAACACATGGTCGGTGATGGCCATCGTTTGCGGGAGCATGGGTAAATAATGGAAAAGAAAGGGTTTTTATCGATTTCTTAAAACGAAAAAAAAACCAAATCCAAAAATAAAAACAAGAATGTATTTAAAAATTGTTTTGTTTTTTTTAGTTTTTAAAAACATATTGTTATTATTTTTGTTGCTATATATAAATATTTTTCAATTAGAGGATATAGACACCTCTCTTAGCAGAGATTTGAAATTTGGCTCATCTCTTTATGAGAAATTAACTCCTTCTACTAAACCCGACCTTAATTAGTTAAAAACATATTATTGTGGTTTTTAAACTCATAACTAAAATATTATTAAACAAAATTTTTAATTTTTTAAAAAACAAAAGTTGTTTTCAAAATAAAAAAACAAATAACTCCTATTTCATTCTATTTTCCGTTCCATGAACCAAAATTCTCAGGGCACAAACAGATATCATTTTACACGGAAAAGAGTGTTGTTTAAGATAAGAGGGAATGGACCAGAATAGCATAGGAATGGTCGAATGGACACTGCGAATTCACAATAATTGTTGTTTTGTTCCCTTGAAGCCTGTAACGTTCCATCAGCTATCCTTTTGCTGTTTATCGCGTGGCGGCATGTCACCTCATTGCGTGATGCACGTTGAAGCGTTTGTACATAGAATTATAGACTGTAAACTTTTTCTATATTACATTATCTATTATTTATGAAATGTTTGCTCAGAATTTTTTTTATAAAATATAAATGGATTAATACTGTTCTTAGTTTTTATGTAATTGATCGGATTTAACTTTTATCCCTATAACTTTAAACTATTGGTTTTATGCCCTATAGTTTCATATATAACTTGTGGGGCTGAGTTTACTGAATTGTTTAGGTATTTTTATCGAGTTTTGATTTTTTGCCTCCGCATTTAAACCTCAAACAAAACCTTTATGAAGCTGGGAAAGGAATCAAAATCAGCAGTGTTAGAGGATGACATGCAACACTAAAGTTTAGAGGAATTTTGTTTTTAAATCTGCCTGATGCCAAGCGTCATCTACTTATGTGACATGACAATTTTCATCTCTAAAATAACTATAGAGTAATGGTAAGAAGTTGACAAAAAAAATTAGAGGTTAATTTTTAACTTTAAAATGCCTGAGGACATAGGCAATTGACTAAAAATTTAGTTGAGTTTTATATATTTTAGCCTTATATATGTGCGCACCCAATGGCAAAAAAAAAAGTGTGTGTATAATAATTTGCATTATATAATTAAGGAGGTATTTGAAAATCCTAAAAAAACTTTTAAAATGCTTTAATGTAAATTAAAATAAATTTTTTATAATTTATTTTGTATATCATAAATTATTTTTTAAAACTAGAGTTTGATTTTCATCAAAACAGGTGAGCTCAATGAATCATAAGTGTTTGTTATAATTAAGAGATTTAATGTTAAAGTCCATCAAAGTCCCTTTTCTGTCAGTTACCTGTTGTCAAGCAGCAAGGTGGTATAAAATTATAAACTCTGATCACTACAAAGAGGGATTTTTTTTTTCCAAAAACATTTTGTTAAATTTGTACTCTTTTGATTCTCAATATAAAATCTAATTAATTAATTTAAATATCTAGATTAAAGATATTAATTAAATTAATTAGTATGATATATTTTTTTTAAAATATCATATATATATTTTAATTTTTTTCCTCTTTTTTCTACTTGATTATTACTGAGAAAATATCAATATGGTTAATTTTAAAAAAAATTAATAAATATGTAAAATGAGTCTTACATATAAGATCAATATCAACTATTAAATTAAGTTCTATATTAAAACCGAAGGAGTACTAAACTTATTTATAATTAAAAGATAAGATTTTAGAGTATTTTATTTTCTTCTTTTCAATTGTTGGGTACGACTTGAAAATGGTTATTAAGTTTTAAATCATCGGGATGAGTTAAAGCTATTATAAAGCTTTCAGCAATATCACAAACTCTGTGCTATTTATACTCTTCTATTTTTTAATATAAACTTATTTAACTAATTTAATTGAATTAAGAAAATTAGGTAAGTTAGTTAATTATAAAAAATATGGTATGTTTTTCTAAAACACCATAATTATCTTCCTTAATATATTTCCTTCCTCTTCTACTTGATTGTGGTTGAGAGAATATCCATGGGGATAATTTAGAAAAAAATTAATAAATATGAAAAATAGGTCTTATATTTAGAACTAAAATCAACACAATAATTAGGTTATATATTAAGAACCAGAGAAATATTATTTAAGTATGTATGTACATATATAAAGAGGATTGATTTAATCTAAGACTTCACTTCATTTTGGTTTCCATCCGTCTTTCATGATAAAAACACTATTTCATGACAAAATTTGAGTTAACTTAAAAATTTATTTATGAGTACTAGTATTGAATATTTAAAAGTTTTCTAGGTTTAGTATTACCCCAAAAATTTAAAATTATAATGTTTTTATCCCCTAAATTTTTAGGTCAACAGTAAACATTAAAAAAAAAAATAGTTGCTCTTACAAGATAAATTTGTATCTTAAATTCTAAAAAAAATTTACACTGATCAAAATAAAATCAAAATAGAATCAAATTTCAATAACTAAAACTATCAATATAAAATTTCAGAAGTCAAAACTAAACCAAAGTACGGATAGTTTTAACCCCACACATTTTTTTTTTGGCCAAAAAAGCCCCACGCATTGGCCTCCTAAGTCCTATCCACTTCCATGGCAGAAAGTTCAGAAGCCGCCTCATCGGCCGCATCCTCAGCTCCACGTACACAAGGCCAAAAACGTGAGATTTTTTTTTATGGCCGGAGTTAACAGGTTGTGATTTACTGTTTGTCGTGCCGTGCAATGTCACGTCATTACGTGATGCACGTTGAAGCAATATTAAAAAAAAATTAGTTAAGGGTTAAATATAAAATAACTAATTTAAATATTTTTAAAATTATATTTAATCATTTATATTGAAATTATCCATTAACAAGACCTCTTTAAGATGAATAAGAATAAGCTTTGGTAAAAATAATAGATAATATCAGGAACAATTTAATCATTAATAAATGTATATAATCCTATAATATAAATTATAAAATTATGGGGTCATTTACACTATTCACAACCCTTTGACAATGCGGCTCATTTGTGAAACTTTCTTGCAAATGCGCCAACTCCCAACTACTTTATTATTACTTTGTAAATTGTGTAGAAGGGGACCTCTGGTAAAATTCATCAAAATACATTCTTCATTTACAAGAAATAAATATAATATTTGTGGGCAAAAATATATATTTAGATAACATTTGTTATATTTATTATATTATTACTCAACAATAATTGTTGGTTTTTATTATAATTTTTGACCTTCCATATAAATGACATTTTTAAATTAACAACAAATTTTGGTTTTCTAAATATCAGTACTTTATTATTATTTTTTGAAGAGAAAAAGCAAGATAAAACCTGTCTCTTCCACCTTTGAACTTTTTACAGACTATCCAATATAATATAAAAATACTTCTTCTTATCCTAAATACAAGAATTAGTTTAGAACTAGAAATTTTCCCCCCATGCAATGCACGGACTAGAATATTTGATTAGATTTTAAATTCTAATAAATTGCATTATTTAAGATAACTCAAAATTTACTTTATATAGGAATATAATTTTTTTTTTATTCATTCAAACATGATTTGAATTAGAGATATGGAATTTAGGGAAACATACAAAAATTTAAACTATTTATTTATTTTTCCATTTAAGCCTCCCAGTTGACATACTATTTAATATATTCAAATCTCAATTAAAATATTATTTAAATTCAAAATTAATTATTAATATTTTTGTTTGAGTCTTCAATTAAAATCCCATATAATAATGATGTTTCTTAATTAATTCAATATACCCAAATCCCAATCAAAATATTATTAAAATCTCATTAATTCAATCTATTCGGGTCCCATAATGTCACAACTAACCCGTTTTTAAACGAGTCAAGTATTACGAGTTTTTAAGAATATGATTGATTGATGATTATTGATTTTATTTTAGTATTAGCTATAATATTTTAATTTATTTTATAGTTCAAATTTATAATTCCGCCTCAAATTATCTTTATTAACCGGCCATATTAACAATTTTAATGAGATGGAGTAGTTTCAATGTCGATGATTCATTAAATGAGGTACTTTTGGAAAACTAGCACATTTTTTTAACTAATATCTATTTAATTAATATTCTTAATCTTTATAGATTGGTTATCTAATTCTCACGTTTAGGATTGGAGGGAATATTAAATATCATTAACTCTATTTAATCTTCCATCTTTGATTAGATAGAACAAATCACGATATCGAATTGGAACCAATTTCGATGCTCATCACTTTGATAAGCACCATAAGCTCATCGGATCTGAGCTGTCTATATCTGATTTGAACAGTTTGGATTTAAAATATTTAATTAATTATTTTTAAATCAAAAAAATTATTTTTGAAAAAAATGATAGTTAAGAGATTGTCCCTATTTTAGATTCTATACGTAGTAAAATAATTATTTTAAATAAATAAAAAAATCAAATATGAACTATCTAAATCAAATATGGACACTTTAGATCTGATGAGCTTATGGTGCTTATCAAAGTGATGAGCACCGAAACTAATTCCCAATATCTTCATATACACTTTGTCTACACCTAAGCAGGTTGTCTTCATTAGATTCATATCTTCCTCCCTCCTTCATCATATCAGATCCACCTGGCTAGTTTCAATTGTTCACATTCGATTCTTATCATATATTCATTTATTTATTATTATTTAGAATTTTTTCCCCATGCGATTTATGGCCTATAAATACGCCATGAGAAGCAGCAAAGCAGAGCACAGTAACCAAACGTCTTCTCATATTCTCTTCTACTATCAGATCACACGACACTTGCAGACATGGAGCTGTTCCAGAGTAAGAAGCTCATTGTTTCAGCTTCATCTTTGTTGGATAAGATCAACCCTTTCACTGCAACTGATGAAGCCATTTCCAACCACATCATCGGAATCCATGACTCGCAGGCCCCCAAGTACGATGTCGGTTCTCTTTACAATGTTGTCTCCAACATCGTCAAGAGCTCCACTCACATCGGCACCTCCCTCGATCTCAAGGTTCTTTTTAAACCCCATTTTTCTTACGAACGCTTTCTGTTTATTCATTAACTAACTATCATCTGTTTGTGTTTGTTGGTATATTATTCTAACAGCGTCCCAAAGCTGTTGAACTTGTGGAAGACAAGGTTCCACAGTCCAGTTTCATGCCACCTTTCAGTACCCTCAAAGAAATCGCTTGTCAGGTCATTATTCTTCATTTCTTGTTCTTATATATTCACTTTTCAGATCTTTCTTTTCGGAAAAAAAATAACAAATTAGGTCGCATGGAAGAGACTGGATACTAATAAACTGGTGTTATAGATGACATGCAAGCCTTTTGAGAAATCTACGGCACACCAAACAGCGGTGGGAATTTTGGAGAAGCTTAAAAGCTACACATGGGACGCAAAGGCAGTGATAGCTCTCTCGGCTTTTGCTTTGGACTTTGGCGAAACTTGGCGTCTCGCTCTCATGGAACGTACCGAGCAAAATGCTCTTGAACTCCATATCTTCAGGCTTGGAGACGAACCCAAGCCTAGCAAGAACAACTTAGACCTCATTAACACGTTGGTGGATATTTCATTCAAACTTATTGAAGGGATTTCAACATTGGAGAAGAAAATCGCTGATAAGTCTCCAAGCCAAACTTTGTATCATGCTCCTCGAGAACTCTATACTTATTGGGCAATCTTGGCCCTTCTCACTTGTTCTAATCGAACGACTGAACTGTGAGTATCTCATTTCTATTTCATCATCTTTACTCTTTCGTCCACACATATATAGATCTCTTCTTGTAGAGGCTTTGATAGGCCGTCTGAGTCTCAAAACTTTATCAGGATAAGGTCATATTTCAAAGCTCAAAAAGTAATTATATATGTGCTTATAAATTACAATTTACGTAAGATATGAGTCACATCTTTATAATTAATAATATGAATAATTGTTTGTTTGTTTTCTTAATACAACTATTAGGTTTTTCTTTTAAAGAATTTTGGTCCTAATGTGTCATGTCAGAAAATAAATTAATCCTATATTCTTGTGTACGCATAAACATGCTATTATATTGGGAAAGAATCCAAGTTCTTATACTGGGAATTTGATATGACTTTAGAGCAGGTGAAGAGAATGAATTCCGCTTCAACAAATGGTGGTCCCACTTCTATATACCCTTCTCTTGCTCTGCTCATGATTGGATGAATCCAAAGCTTTTCACGTATTTTTTTAATGAATCTGTATCCCTTCACAAACTTTATATGTATTTGGGAGAAAAAAACTTTATATGCATGCTTACAGCTGTTACAAATCAGATGATTTTTTTTAATGATATAGTCATCGTGTTTGGGAAGTTCTATTACCTAATGTGCTTATTTTTCAAATTGATGCAGGGATTGGAACATCAAATCCGAAGTTGTTGGGAAGCTCAATCACGTTCTCATGAGATTGAATAATGAGTTGAATGAGATTCAGCGTGAAGAAGGTTATAGAAAAGAACTGCTTTTATGAACTTATTTTCAAGTTTTTTCAACCTCATCAAACATTTCCAATGTTAGGAGTTTTAATTGCAAATCACCAAGAGTTACTTAAAAAACATAAATGTCCAATTGCAACAGACACTCTCATCCTAACCACGTTCTGAATTGATATTTGCAACTTATTTTTTAACAAAAGTTTGTTGAAACAGAAATGTTATTAAATTGATGTTTTGGGACTTAATTAAAACTGTCGTTTTCCCCATTATATATATATATATATATATATATATATCCACAGCTAAAAATGCTAGCTTCATTGAAATTTTCAGATGAAGAGAAAGACCAAGCATGGCGAGAGAGTGTGTTTAAGTCTCCTTCTGGAATTGTGGATCTTTTGAGGGCTCTCATCTTCTCTAGGGAAATTACTGAGCTCGAAATCTTTGATAACACTACTCAAAAAGTGGTAAGTTCTCAAAAATTTTACACTCAATACATAAATTTAGAATATAAAAAAAAAAATACAAGAATAAGATTTTCCCCCCCATTATAGTAGTCCCAAAGTTTAAATGAAATGTGCTTTTTTAGGTAAGCAATGATGTTTTGAAGACGAAGAATCTTTTGCTGTTCATTTCTGGTCTGGACAACATCGAAGACGAGATTTGGGTTTTGAAATCTGTCCACGATGCATTCAAAAAAGACGAAGAGAAACAAAGTTACCAAATCCTATGGGTTCCTGTGGTGGAGGAAACTGATGATCATAGGATAACTGATGATCGGAAGGAAAAGTTCAAGCAACTGAAATCAAACATGCCATGGTACGTCTTACAGAACCTATTCGCCATTAAAGGCAAGAAGGCATTAGAAAAGCTGTGGCATTACCAGGGAAAGCCTATCGTGGTCGTGACAAACCCTAAAGGTCAAGTCATTAACCGTAATGCAATGTACATGATCTTCGTTTGGAAGATTGAAGCCTTCCCATTTCGACATCAGGATGAAGAAAGACTCTCCCTTCAATGGAAGTGGTTTTGGAATGAAGCAACCAAAGTTTTCCCCGACATTGGAAAATGGGTCAGTATTAATCAATTATCTATTCATTCCTTAAACTTTTAACCCGTTACAACTTAGTCCTATAACTTTATGATTAACTAACTTACCATGCAAATATTATGATTTGCAGATTCAGAGTGAGACATACATCTTCATATATGGAGGGACTGACGTTGCTAGTACCCAGAGGATTGGTACACTGTTAGACTCCATTAAGAATGACCCCATCATCAAGCAAGCAGACGCCATAATCGAGCATTTTAACCTCACAACAAGGCATGATCAAGCATCCAATTTCTGGGCCAGCATCACCAACTCGATGTTAAGCCGACTTCAAAAGAAGAATCACGAACAAGACACTGTTCTTAAAGAAATCGAAACCTTATTGTCATACAAGAACGAGAAAGCTTGGGCCCTTCTAAGCAAAGGCCCCAACGTGCTGGTTATAGGGTTTGATTCCGTGGTAACGAACGTACTGGAGACTTTCGATGAATGGAAAGTGAACGTGCAAGTTCTTCAAGGTTTTGATAATGCATTTATAAAGTATTACAATGAAATGAAGGCTAGTGTTCCTCCTCCTTGTCTCCACTTCCAACTGAGCAATATACGATCAGGAGTTCCTTTCACTATCACTTGCCCTGAGCCATCTTGCAAGAAGAAGATTATGGAAGTTGAAACAGTTACCTACAACTGTTGTCATGGGATCCATTCTCACAATGCACCATTGCGAACCTGAACGGCGAGATTGGGACCCCACTTCTGAGGACCAAATGGACTCCGTAATCAATTATCATCAATGTGCATCGATGGATGAACTAGCTGCCTGCTCTGCTTTCTGTTGTCTCGATGATATAAATAATGAATAAAATGTCTGCGTCTTTTATTTATGAATTTATGAACCTCTATAGTGTGTACTACCTTTGTTTGTTATGTCGTGTACTTGTCTGGTTTTGTATGGATGTTATCATGTAATCTATGTTTACCTCAATAAATAATCGAGCTATGAAGTAATAATTCTGTCTTTTTACTTTAGCATGTTAGAAACTTGTTTTTCATTTGACAAAAATTTGACATCTGATATAATATATATATATATCCTCGAAGGAAATTATGAAAAATAATTAGAAATACGGACGTATTTGATATTTCCCAATTCTCTTATCACTTTTTGCACATAATCTTGAGCTTTTAACATCTCATTGTGACTAAATGTGTCAATTGTATGTTTAGTAAGTTTCCAAGTGATTTTTAGAATAAAATGATTTAATTGTGCAATTGTGATTGAACTCTTGTTAAATGCTTATTTCACATGATTTTGTTCACTCGGACATGTGATTCTTAAGAAGCAATTGGAAACATGGAGTTGCTTTTCCATTGACTTAATAAGAACTGGTTTTCCCACACTTGTCATCAATGGAATTTTGTTCTTTCTTCATTGTTAAGTGCCGGCCACTTGTCGCGTTCTGCTGGGCTTGTTTTTTATCCTAGTTTAATGGATCCTATTTATAAGTTATTTTTAATATGTTTTATACTTATAAAAAAAATTTAAAATTCCAACAAGAGTTCCTCAAGTTGGTAATAAGGAGTCGACTTATAGTCGAAAAAGTCCTGAGTTTGAATCATACTGTTAATATGAGGATCTTATTCTCTGAGCATGGACACATGCTCTAACTCTGGTGAGTATCTAAATTCAACTCACCTAAACTTTTTGTTATAAAAAAATCTTAAAATTTATTACTTCTATCTTAAAATTCAACAATTTTCTAATTCTATTCATATTTAAAATACATTATACTCCTCTAGTCCTATTTATAAATCACTTCTAACATGTTTCATATAGATCAAGAAAAACCTTAAACTTCATTAACTCTCATTTAAAATTTAACAAATTTTTAATTTTACCCCTTTTTAATGTACATTATACCTTACGTAAACGAAATCAACACAATAATAAATGTAGGGTAAAATTATACATCCATATAAAAAAATTTCTGTGTTTAAATATGACTAAAAAAATATTTTCTCTTTTTATCTTATAAATAGAATCAGAAGAGTATCTTAATGGAAAAAAATCAGCACAACAATAAATAAAGGATAAAGTTATTAAGAGAAGGTGGCTGCAAAGAATTTGTAATAGGGAAAAAAGTAGGTGTGGATGAAGAATTTTTTCTTCTTTTTCTTTCTTTGTTCAGTTTGTTGTCGTTATGCATATGATTAAGGGCTTAGGGTCAACAAAACATTGAAATAATAAAAGCCAACAAATATTGCAATCAATACGGATGTCTCCCCAAAACACTTTGGTGGAAAACAGCTAATTAAGTGAGAATTTCTTTTTCCCACTGCGCATGCAACGTGGTTTTTTAAGCACCACGCTTGTCTTCACGTGCTTTACATATAATCAGGTTAGGCTCATGGTTTATGGGAAGTCTATATAAGCCCACTTCATCTGCCATACCAAGGACTAAGCCTGATGATTTAAGTTTTGGGTTAGTATCACCTTTAGCTACGTTTATGAAAATTGATCTGTTTTTTATTTTAATCCCAAAAACTTGACATCAGTGATTTTGGTCCTCAACACGTTGTCTCGAAAACTAAAAACACGGGTGCAGAACAAAAATATTTTTAGGCGAACCAAAATGAAATCAAACTTTAGTAACTAATTAAAACAAAAAATAATATGTCAAATTTCAACAACTATCACAATATTAACCCATAACTATTTCGTATGGAATTAAATTCAAGCAATTTTAAGTTTATTGGGGTTTACTTTTCCAAAAGTGTTTTCAATATTAACAAAGACTCAAGAGTCAAGACCCTTGCTGAAAAACTCAGTCTCTTCCCAAAGAACGAACTAGCTGGAGTGTAAAATTTTAAGCACATATAGACGTAGAATTTTTTTTTTTTTTTGAGTGTCCTCCCATCAATTTAATTATTTCAAAACAACTGACTTAATCAAATTTGTATGAGTTATATTTAAAACTACCTTTGTTTATCAAAATTAAAAACCTGTAAAATTTTGCTTTAAAGAAGATTCTCAATCACAAACTAAGATTCTCTCTCTCTGTGGTGTTTTTTATAATTCCCTTCATACATTTTTTCCCTTATCTTAAAAAACATTTTTTATACATGCAAAGAAGATCAAATAAATAAGAAGACAAGGGAGATTAGCAGAAGAACATGGGATCCCACTGTCTTCAACAATATGGGATTCACGGCTGTACATAAATAATTATGTGTCCTATTTTTTTTATATGAATTTGTAGTTTAATGATAGTATTTTAAAAATAGGACATATGACCTTGTATGGCTAGAAAACTTGGCAAAATGAGTATAAGAAATTTGACCTAAGTTCAATGAGTTCAGTGTGGACTAAATATGATAGTAAGACATTATGAGCAGGTTGTTTAGGGAATGATTTTTGATTGATCTAATAAGATCTAGAAAACAACTAGGCGTGGTTTTATCAACAATATATGGGTCTTATATTTAGGACCAGAAAGAGTAATATTTAATTAGCTTAAAGAGGGAGAAAGTTCCATACCAAATATTATATTCTTTACCTTGTTCACAAGATATTCCCATTCCATTTACCCTAAGCACGTATAATTTTCTCTTTTTCTCAAAGAGTCTCACAGAGTATAAAGTTAAAGACATAGAAATCTCATCCTTCCCAAAAGCAAAAGATCCGACTTCAAAAAAGAAACACTAATTATAATATTATAATAATGTGTGCTTGTACTGTGTTTGCGACTGTCTGTGTACATATATATCACTAAAGGGACATTCATTAAGCTAACTGAGCTGGGAAGGTTTACATATGTATAGTTCATCAGATCGCTCTCTGGGAAATCTGCAGATTTCTGGTAGTGAAAATAGATCATAAAGATGACATCGAAGCAATTATTAAAACCACTAACCCTAAGTGATAGCCAGATCTTGGATCTGCTTTACAATAAGTTCCATGTCGACGTTCACAAAACTAATTGTGAAGAATCCTTCAATGTCGAAGCTCTTTTCAGCGTTGTCTCAATCATTATGAATTGCTCACTTGGTCATACTGATGCAGCCCCCAAGGTACGTAATATTTAACCTTCATGATCTGATATATATATATATATGAGATAATGATTGGTTTATTATTGTTTACACACACACACACACTCACAGATTGAAGAAGATGAGAAGGCTATTCTAAGCAATTTCGAGCCACCAGCACATATACTGAGGCCTATTTCTTGTCTGGTTAGTATCTTACTGCATGCTTTTATCTATCTCACACTTAGACGAAGGGTTGTTGAAAATTATTTGAGATTTGAAGTTTGTTATTATTATCGTCGAATTTAACTCAGCCTATCATCGAGTCAATAAACTACTCATTTCTCTAAATATGTCTGTAATTAATATGTCTCCTTGAAAAACAAATCCTATAATAATTTTAATTTTTTTATAAGGGCATTTCAAGAAAAATTTAATAATCCCATTTAAACCCTGAATTGATAAGGACATTTAAACCCTAAGGACTCTAGATACGGATGCAATTACCGTGCGGTGGGGGGAACAACTGTGGAATTTTATTTTATTTTTTCCTTTTTCCAATGACACTGGTTCGATGTTTTTCTTCTCTAGTGATAAGGACATTTTGTTTGGGGAGGATTCCCTCGTAAAGCATAGGAAGAGAAAGAGACAAGAATTCTAATGGGGCCCATCAAGAACATTTCTCCTTATTTTTCTTTTCACAAGAGGCTAGAGGGAATCCAAGTTGGCATCATTTGATAGCGAGAATTTGCGTGCGGAGGAAACCTTATTTTCACCTTCGTTCAGATTTGTTTTTATTTTGAAATTTTTTATTTTAAAAAAATTATTCTGAATTTTGAAGATTAATTATCCTATATTGTTTAAAGAAAAAAAGTAATTTTTTTAAAAATTATATATATGTGCTGGTGAATGAAAAATTTTATTTTGGGTTCATATTATTACTATTATTATTAGCTCTCTAAATGGTGGGTCGGCTCATTGAGCAACTCCGATCTACAAGTATTGGGCTCATTAAGCCCATGTTTCTCTTAGCCATAAATGGACTTTTTGGCCCATCTCATCTGTAGCCAATGGGCCTAGATGGATTGGACATTATATCTAAATGCGCTTCTCTGTGGCCCATCTAGTCTCTAGGGTTAGACGAATTGAACAAGGACTAGACTAATTCTGTTTTTTTATACTTTATCTATTATATTTATCTATTTTTAAAAAAAAATAGTCTTTTTAGTAATTACACATGTTAAAGGTTATATTAAATGGTAGTTTTAATTAATACACATAATTGACAAGGATATTTTAGAAAAGACAACACTTATTTATTACAAATAACTAATTTAACAAACTTCTTTAATCTACTCAAATTAGTCATCTAGTTCTGATACTAAGAACCAGAGTTGGTATTTTATAAAACCCATATTTTCCCTAATTTAAATTTCTCTAACCATTTGCATTATTCTTGCGGGGTGGAAAAAAAAAATTAAAGATGATGCACACAGATGATGACGAGAACCACTCGTATGCACATGAAACAACAATGTCAATCCTTGAACAGTTAAAACCCTATTCATGGGAATCCAAAGCAGTGATGGTGCTGGCAGCATTCTCTGTGGAATATGGCACTTTCTTCCATCTTTCGCAGGTTTCTGCAGAAGACAGCCTTGGGAGATCATTAGCAGTGTTGTGCCATGTTCATGTCTTCCA